CAAAAAAAACCCAACATAATAAAGGAGTTATTACAAGTTTCCAGATAACTAAATTAAAATATGGATGTTTTTTAAAATGTTGGATGAATATAAAGGAAATGACTTGCCTGAAGTTACGCAGTTCTGTGGCTGAGCTGAAATGACACCCGTGTCACCAGGCTCCCAGGGCCTGGAGGTGCCCGCTCTGCCCCCTGCGGGGCCTGGCCGTCTCTCCACGCCCTCTCCTGGGACCTGCCGCAGGGGGCCGAGGCCCCTCCAAACAGCCTGCTGTCTCCTCCTTTGTCTGCTGTCCGGGGAGTCTGAGGCCAGCAGGCTTATGAGAGTTTATTTAAGAGTTATTGGGCTTCTCCTCATTCTTTGATAAGGGAAGCCCCAGAAGGTGTGTTTTTCAGGGGGGTGACATTGATAATTATAGGTGAGGTGCAGATTTGCAAATGATTGTTTATATACTGTTTGGAGGGGGGAAGAGATGAGAAGGAGAGATGAGGAAATAAATCAGCATCATTTACTGATTTCAAGACGTTGGATGACTATAATTCTTAATAACTCTTACAACAAATGTATTTATTCTAATACATTTTTTTTAATTTTTGTTTTTTAAAGTTGTGGTAAAATATAAATAACATGAAATGTACCATCCTGATCATTTTAAGCCCTAGAGTCCTGTGGCAGTAAGTATATTCAGATTGTGGTATGACCGTCACCACCATCCATCTCCAGAACTGTTTCCATCTGGCAAAACTGAAACTTCCTACCCAGTAAATACCGCGCTTCCCCTCCCTCCAACCCCTGGAACCACCATTCCACTTTCTGTCTCTACGAATTTGACTATTTTAGATACCTTCTATAGGGGAATCATATAGTATTTGTTCTTTTGTGACTGGTTTATTCAAGATTCACCCATGAGGAAGCATATGTCAGAATTCTCTTTTTAAGGCTGAAAAATAAGTATTCCATTGTATATATACTATATTTGGTTTATTTGTTCATCTGTCAATGGATAGTTGGGTCGCTTCTACATTTTGGCTACTGTGAATAAGGCTGAGGTGAACATGGGAGTACAAATATCTGCTCAAGTCCCTGTTTTCGGTTCTTTTAGGTACACACTCAGAAGTAGAATTGCTAGATTATACTGGAATTCAGACTTTTTTTAAAAATTGTGGTTAAAAAAATAACCCCACCTAACATAAAACATCATTTCAGCAATTTCTAAGTATACAGTTCAGTAGTGTTAACCTATTTTTCACTTTTTGAGGAACCACCACACTGTTTTCCCTCATTTCTAGTACATTCTTATATTCATCAGCAGCAAATGAGATAATAAAAATGAAGCTCTTATAAGACTTCTATAAATTTATAGATTCATAAGGTTTCCTATTAAAAAATTTATAAAGATTCTGACAAATTTAAATTCAATAAACATTAGTCGATAATAAAAACAGTAATAATGATGCAATTCTGTGACACTTTAGCGGGTACTTTCTGTTGTGGGCACTGGGCCAAGCACTATAGATGATGTAAAATCCCATCGGGCACTCCCTTCGCCTTCATTATGCTTAGAGTCTCCGTGGAGAGACAAACGTGGGCACTGAGCTCAGAATTTCGGCAGAGGAAGTGGAAGTGCCTGCAGAGTTGTGCTGGGGCCGGGGCCGGAGCCCAGAAGCTGGAGCCCGGGGCACCTCTCTCCCCAAATCCAGGTTCAGTGATGTCATAGCGGGGCTTGACATCAGCCAGGGTGAGAGTATTTACACCACAGGAGCTATAAACAGTACAAATCAGGGCTCATTTTTTTCTCCCCAAGAGCTGGTTGTTAAACATTTACCTAACTGAGGTGGGACCACAGGAAAGAGCATTACCGGACTAGGGCCTTGCCGGCAGAGTATCCACGCTTGGGGTGCATCTACTCACCGACTCTGCTCTCTCGCGCCATGATTCTTCTGTCAATCATGGATCCGGCCTCAGCTCTAGGCCCCAAGGGTGAAGTTACAGTGGGAGCAGTTGAGGAGCACCCAGTATCCTTCTCCCACCCTCTGAAATCAAATCAGAAGTGCGCATGGATGATGCTGAGTGCTTGGATCAAACCAAGTGATTTAAACTGTAAGCAGACCCTCTGTAATAGGAGGGTAACACAGCAAAAAGCTGATGAAAACGCTACGCTGCACCTCGGGCGGGAAAATTCTCCCAGTCCTGAACTTCATCCTGTTCAGCTTAACCTGAACCCTCAAAATCACTAAACCTGCCCTTCAGAGGTTATCTGATTTGCCGATTTCCATTAAAGACCTTTCTTCAATATGATGTTGTTGTAGAGATCAAATGAGCTGACTGTACATCAAAAAGTTTTGTAAATTGTGAAGTGCTATACAAAACCAGAAATACGGTAATCAAATATTTGTTTAAAAAATGAGGATCCACATTCTCCATTAATTTCCTTTCGTTGTAATTGCTTAAATTGCCTTTAAAACAACTGTTGAACCGTTAAATGCCTATGAAAGACACTTACTTTCCAAATGAGACATTATAACTTTTTGTACTTACACATAGTCTTAAACATAAACACAAAGAAATCACGGTTATATTTGTAAGATGGGAAAAGGATGTACACTTCTTATACAACCTCTGATAGAGGATTTCTAGCCAGCTGGAGCACTAGTCTGGTGAGATTACTGAAACCTTGCCAGTAACTACCTATATTTGACTTTCGCACCTTTTTAAAAGTCAAAAGAGGCATTTGCAGGGAGTCATAAAATGTCATTACATATGCAGAACAATTGAAGTTCCTCAGCATCTGGGGAAGGAAACACATCTGTCTTCTGTCTATTTCTTCCCTAAATGTCCCCCTGAATCAACTTTTATGGGGGTGGGGGAGGTGGAAGGGTGTCGTAAATATCCCATTCTATTGAATCCGAGAGTTAGCAGTACCCCTGCGACTATAAACACAAGATGTCGCGCTCAGGAAAGCGCTCAAGTAAGCAGAGATCTTTGTGACAGTGGCCTCGGTGTGGCCCACGGGCCGGCTAATCACATGACCATGAGAACCACGAGGTGGCCCGCAGACAGTGAAATAAAGAGGAGGAGAAAGGCAAGACTAATCTCATTTACAAGGAAAGCCCAGATAGACGCTGCCTTTACATGGTTGCTTAAACGCCCTGGGTTCCCAGGACTGGATTGTTCCGTTCCGCCAAACACTGGGTCTCATGAGCTCTCTCAGGCCTTGCCTTCAGAGTATTCCTTTTAAGGAAAAACAGACATCACACCCAACCAATCTTCCCCCCAAAAGCCTCAGGAGGTGCGGTTTTCCTTCATGATCTTATTTTCAGTTGGCTGTTCTCTAAATTGCCTAAAACGATTGAGTCCACCGAAGACTTGAACAAAATTTCAAGCTTTTCATGTCTTCTGCAGCTTTGCGGAAAGAAGAACTTACATGAAATCTGAAGAAATCCAGTAGATCAGCGGTTCTCAAAATATAGTCACGGATCCCAGCGGCGGGCAGGTGCTGGAGAAGGCCTCTTCACTTTAAAGGGGACTTCGAGGGTCTCCCTTTTCCAGCTGCGTATCTGTGGGGGGCTTGAACCCAACAACAGATTACAACCGATAGACACAGACATGAGAATCCAGCTGTTCAGGAGATTTGAAAACTAGAAACCAAGACATTAAGAAGTGTGCAAAAATGGGAAGCGATGCTTCTCTTTTCCCTTCCTGTTGGTTGTTTCAGAAAATATAATTATTTTTGATAAAAACTTCCATGTTAATATGCAGTGGATTTATTACCATTATTTTTAAGTGAATAAATAAAATATTTTCTTCACTCTTTGGTGTTTGTTTCTACTACAGTAAATATGGGTAGATATGACCCACATAAAGTAATGCTTTTCAGGTCCTCCTTAACTTTTAGGAATGTAAAGTGGTCCTGACACCAAAAAGTTTCAGACCTGCAGCACTGGAAAGACATGAAAACATTTCATTGTAAACATTGCTTATAATTGAACTAAACCTTTATTTTGAAGACTGTGGGGTAACTTGAACTGTAGAAATCCAGCCAGTCCAGGAAAATGACAGAAGCATGATAAGTCATTTCCGAGGGAAGATGAATCTCTGAGATCCAACCAAGGAGTCACGAGGGTCAGTGCTTCGCTCTTTTTCATTGCTGTGTGGTATTCCACCATGCGGATGTACCACCGTTTGTTCATTCACTTACTGAACCATCCACGTCAGTTGCAGTTTGGGGCTATTACAAATACACATTTGCGTACAGGTTTTTGTGTGAACATAAGTCTTTATAGCTCTGGAATAAATGTCCAGGAGTGCAATTGCTGGATCATACGATATTTTTAAGAAACTGCCTGTTTCCAGAGTGGCGGTGTGCCATTTTATGTCCCCACCAGCAACGTATGAGTGATCCAGTTTCTCTGTAACTTTTTCAGCATTTGGTATTAGCCCTGCTTTTTATTTTTGCCGTTCTGGTGAATGCACAGTGGGATCTCACTGAGGTTTTCACTTGTAATTCCTAAAGGTTAATGATATTGAATATCTTTTCATTTGCTTACTTGCCATCTGTGTTTCTTTTGCCCATATTTTAATCAGATTATTTGGGTTTTTTTTAATGTTGATTTTTAGGGGTTCTTCACATATTCTAAATAGCAGCCTTTTCGTTGGATATATGGCTTGTAAATATCTTCTCCCATTTTGTTGATTGTCTTTTCATCTTCTTAGGAGGGATTTTCACTGAGCAAAAGTTTTAAATTCTGAAGTCTAATTTATCAATTTTTTTCCTTTTGCGGATCATGCTTTTGGTGTCAGGTCTAAGAATTCTTTACCAACCTTAGGTCCTAAAGATTCATTCGCAGGCTTTCTCTAAAATTCTAATAGGTTTACATTTAAGGCCATTATCTAATTGAAGTTAATTTTTGTGTAAGGTCAGAATTAGGTGAAGGTTCTGTTTTCTAACACCTGTGGGTATCCAGTTGCTCCGACACCATTCTTTGAAATCTCTCCTTCCTCTATTGAATTGCTTTTATACTTTTATCAAAAATTAGTTGGATGTACTTGTGTGGGTCTATTTCTGGGTTCTCTATTCTGTTCCATTGAGCTAGGTATTTATTCCCCCACCCACACTACACATTCTTGCTTATTATAGCTATATAATAAGTCTTGAAATCAGGAAGACTGCAATGAATTACATTTTGAAGTTTTATTTACTTAAGCTAAGTGCTTATAATAAATGTATCGGCTAAAGCATTTACGTTCTCTTGACAACTTGTCTAGGATCACAATTTACATTTTTTTACTGAAACTCACACTCTTCCCCAGGTCCTGACACTTACTTTGTGAAGGTTACTTTATTGCTCTGAACCCCAGTTTCCTGATTGTGGAGCGGAGGAGCAAAGTCTATCCTTCGGAGTTTGTACATACTTTGCAGGATGTCCTGCCAGTAAGGTTGTGTGAGATTACATGTCACAGCAAGGAACACAGTCGCAGGCATGAAATTTAGGTCAGGTGCCCCCATCTGCTTTCTCTTTGTCCAGAATGATTCTGTCACTTACGCTGGTAGTACGTGGAACTGTTCGTTGTATTTCTGCAACTTGCTCTACTTCTCAAACCCCATACCATAAACAACTCTTTCGTAATGATCCATCATGCTGGGAATATGCACTATATTAATCCATGTCTAAATCTTTAAATGCATCCAAAAATTAGCATTTGATAAGCTGTGGTTGTGATAATTTAGTTCCTGAATGGGCTCTGCTGCTGCCTGCATGGCAAATCCATAAGGGCCTCCAAGAGGCTGCACTTACAAGAATCATAAAGCCATTTCCTCTCATTACCCAAAACAGTCCCCTCTGCTTTCCCCTACATACACACACCCAACTGTAAAATCGGAGTTTTATTCTAAGTACAAAACAAACAAACAATACATTTTGTTTTTTTTTAAACATCCCCATCTCTCCCTGTGAGCTACTATTCTCTCCATTATATGTTTTCCCTTGACAAATTAATTTAAACTGGACACACAGATGTGTATTTCTAACCTGACAATTCATCAAAAAGCACTGTTGACACATTTAGGTGTTTTACTTTGCTCGTGTATCCCTAGTGTCTGCAACACCCTTTGCAAGTGTGAGCTAGGTGACTCAGCACTTTAGTGACTTCACATGACAGTTATAAGACAATACAAAGAAAATTATGCTTCTTATACCTTTTAAAAATCCCTTTAATTAACTTTTTAACTGGGAAATGCAAGACATATCCAGAAAAGTACATAACAATAAATGTTCAGTTTAATAAACAATTTTACATTGTATACCTATGCATTCACCAGGCTGATAAACAGAACCTTTCCAGAACGCCAGCTGTGTCTCTGCGTCCCTTCTCATTTATTTCCCCCTCTCACGAAGGTAGCCACTATCCTGTCTTTGAGAATGATCACATTACATTCTTTACAGTTGATTGTAGAATTTAACTTATTTATATTTTCGCTCTTCTTCTTATTGTTTTATTTTTAACATTTATATGTGCATTCTTTAATTTAATCAAATACATGGTCAGTTATGGTCTTGATACAAAGCTTTATTTGCAAATGATATCCTGTTTGAATGTGAATTGAAACAAGATCCATGCATTGCAATAGTGCAAATCCTTCTTAAAACTTAAAAAATATGGTTTATATGCAAGCAAGAATAACCAGGAAATCCCTGGAAAGCAGCAACAGCGTGGAGAAGGAGAGCCTTCCGATACCTTGGACTATATTATAAACCTTCTATAATTAAAGAGCTTAGTTTAGGCCCAAGAATAGAGATGCAGACCAATGGACCAGAAAAGATAATCCAGAAATGGACCCCACTGCATAGGATAATTCAGTATAGTATACTGGAGACACCCCAAATCCATAGCCAGAAATGAGGCAAAGTTCCCTAACTGTGCTTCAAAACCACAAGTAAGAAGGGATAAATGGTTTATCTAAAAGAACGAAAACAGCCAAACATTTTTTTTGCATGGTAGAAAGCCCTGTTATAAAGTAACAAGACAGAAAGAAAAACACTCAAACTTGTATCACTGAAGATTTTAAAGGCCAACAAATCTATGGGAAAATGGAAGAGAAATTACAACACGGGTCTCAACAAAAAAATGCCCGTGGCTCTCAGTCATGAAAAGGTTCCCACTCTCACTCATGTTGAGAGAAACCCTAAGTAAAATTATGGGGACATGCAATTTCTCTGCTGGCAGGTGGGGAAAAGGCAGTAGGTCGACCACATCTGATGTTCACAAGGCTACGAGAAAGCAGCCTCTCATCTATTTATGAGGGGAAGGGAATTGGGGAACGTCTAGAAAAACTCACATGCATTTACCCTTTGGCCTAGCAATTTCCCTTCTACCGAGTTATCCCAAAAGTACACTGACCAAAACATGAAAATGTACATGCGCTATTTGTAATAGTAGAAACCTGAAAAAGACCCAAATTCCACCAGTAAGGGACTGGTTGAATAAATTATGGTACTTTTACACAATGCAGCTGTGTGCTACCAAGGAGGCATCCCCAGGGCATGTTGTCAGTACAAAAAAACCAGGTAGAGAAAAGTATTTATCCCGCCCGCTTCCCGTGGGTCGAGTCGACGCGATCACAGGTGACCTGGTTCGGTTTCAATCAGCTTTAACTTTTTCTCACAGGCAGTGTTACAGAAAGATTGCAGCTTGCACACAGGTAGGTATGAGTTAGAGCTCTATTAGTTTCTCGTCGTCTCTGCAGCCTTTCTTTCGCTGGCTTCTCTCCTTCTGGCTTCTGCCTACCACTAACTACCGCTATATATATGTTTCCTAGACCAATCAAAGGGGAGAGCATGCATGACCTTTAACTCTATTGGCGACAGGGCGGAAATCATGCAGTGTGCACGAGCACGGAACTACTTATAAGGTCTGGGAGGGGGATTCTCCTATTCGGCAGAGCGGATGCGTGGGATGTGCCATTACCGGATGTGAGCGCGGTCTTAGAAGGGCTGGGGTCCGACCTCGGCCGCGGCTCGGACCTCTACAGCATTTATTATATACCACTGTTTACCTAAGAAAAGAAGACACCACGCATTTCAAAGGATGAATTTAATAGTATATAAATTATATCTCACTACAGCTCCTATAAAAATATATATAAGCATTTAAAAATAGAAGCATAAGCCATAATTTCTGAAGACATTTACTAACAGAGGGCAGGGGAGGATAAGTGAAGGGTTGCAGGGACAAAGGTAGACTTTTCTCATAAACCAAGGCCTATAGAATTCGTTTTGGAGCCAGTAAATATTTTATACACTTTTACAAAGCAGAATAAAATAAAAAAGCAAGTACTAAAAACTGGAAATAAAAGGAAACAAAACAGACAAAGCGTGTGCCACGCTCCGCAGCCACAGCGGCTATTGCAGTGACTTTAAAGCACTGTCTTTTGTCGCTTCTCCATTGTACAGACGCACAACGTACACGATGTGTCTTGTGGGATATACGTGAAGGACAAACAACTGGAAAATGACTCAGGAATGGCTCAGGAATCGCTGAGGGCGCTGATGGCCATGTCAGTACTGTTAGTCTGAGACTAGTGTCTGTGTTTTGTGGGAC